CCGAGGGCTGTCGGGGACCCCGAGGGTCCCACGGGAGAAGAGCCAGCGGAGGCCCAGCTGCGGCCGAGGTTGCCATCTGGGTACCCAGGGGACCTCGGAGCTTGCGCCAGCAGAAGCCGGAGCTGGGGGCGGAACTAACAGCCTGTCCCCCGCTAATAGCCTGCTTGCACTTCCTAAGCAGGGCGAGCCTATAAAGTAGCAACAACTCCACCAGCTTCTCGTGGTTCCGCGGCCCCTGAAGGCTCACACGTCCCCCGTGTCCACCGGCACAGCAGCTGGGTCCGTTCTCATACTGTGACACCTGGCCCTTTCCCAAGGCATCACGGTCCTGCACCCCATTTGTGCCATCTGCAGGGTCGCGGGGGCTTCTCGGCCGGGCTCCCACCCCCTCTGCCCCCGGCCGAGCAGACTCTCCCCAGGGCCCCCAAACCTCCAACTGGCACCCCGCCAAACAGGGACGTGACAACGTGCAGAAAATCAAAGACACTTAACAACGGTCTGAAGGGCCCGCTCCGATCACCTCTATACCTCCCCAGTTCCACGGAGGTCTGAGCCCACACAGGAGTGACAGGGAGGTGACACAAGGGTACACTGTGTCCCCCGCCCAGGCAGCGGGGGCCAAGCTGCCATGACACGTGTCCGCCCCAGGTGCCCTCGCTGGCCCCGCGGGCTGAGCTCCTCACTGTCACCCTATTGCCCTCAGCACCGGAGGGTTTCCTTTTCTCTCCCTTCCTTTAAAAAATAATAAAGATATTTAAAAAGGACTCAACTGCTTACTTCAAAAAAAAAAAAAAAAAACAGCAAAGACTGGGATTTTCCCCAGGGCAGCTTAAGGCCTACTTAAGAAAGCTTGAGGACGTAACAGCTCCAGGCTCTGAGCTGTCAGCACAGAGCCCGACCCGGGGCTCGAACTCTCGAGCCGTGAGATCATGTCCGGGGCCGAAGTCGGACGCTTAACCCGCAAAGGCCCCCAGGCGCCCCTCCACTTTTCCTTCTAACAGCTGTGCTCCCTGGAGAACGTGCGATTTGGGGGTGGAGGGCTTTGTGTTTTGAAATCTT